TGTTAGCCTTGAGCAAAAAAGAAATTTAGGGACACTGCCCAAGCCCTGAGTTCTCAAGCCCCAGGGCTGCCAAGAAAGAAAGAAAGAAAGAAAAGAAAGAAGAGAAAGAAAGAAAGAAAGAAAGAAAGAAAGAAAGAAAGAAAGAAAGAAAGAAAATTCTTAATGGAAATGATGCAATCCATGTTTCTCTGGGTCTGGCTTACATCATGTAATATATTTTGTCCAAGTCTTTCTATATGCTTATGAATGGTATAATATTCTTTCTGATACATGAATAGAATTGAGTGTGTACATCATATACACATATATATATATGTAAGTATATATATATATATATATATATATATATATATATATCTCACATTTTCCTCATTTGTCCATTGAGTGGCACCTAGACTGATTCCATATCTTGGCTATGATAAATAATACTGCAATGAACATGGTTGTGGTGGTAGCTTTAATGTGGCCTTGTTTGTAGTGTATTGGAAAAACGCCCAGGAGTGGTGTGGCTGGATCATAGGTTAGATCTATGTTTGATTTTTTTTTTTTTGTCGGTCATGCAGCTTGAAGTCTGGGCTTAGGTGCTATCCCTGTGCTGTTCAGCTCAAGGCGAGCACACTACCGCTTAAGCCACAGCACCACTTCCGGTTTTCTAGTGGTTTATTGGAGATAAGAGTCTCACGGACTTTTCTGCCAGGTCTGGCTTTGAACCGCGGTCCTCAGATCTCAGCCTTCGGAGTAGCTAGGATTACAGGTGTGAGCCACCATTGCCTAGCCTATGTTTGAATTTTTGAGGACCCTCCATACTCCTTTCAAGAGTGGTAGAACAAGATTCCCTTTAGGCCACATCTAACCCAGCATTTGTTATTCTTAGTATTTCTGATAGTGGCCATTCTTGCTGGGGTGAGGTGGAAACTCAGTGTTGTTAGGATTTACATTTCCTATATGTCCAAAAAAGTTAACATTTCTTCATGGGTCTATTTGCCACTTTTGCTTCTTCTTCTGAGAAGGCTCTCTTTGTGTCATTAGCCCACTAGGTAGCTAGAATGTGCCTATAAATCTATAAGTAAACACACTGGATGGTAAGCAATGGGTTACACATGAATTAAATGAAGTGCAATAGACTCTATGGAGAGCATAAATAGTATAATTCTTTGAAAAGCTTGATAAGTCAAAGCCCAATATAATAAGTACTAGGAAATGGGTAGGTGCAAGAGGGAAGGTTGTAAGATTGTGGCCAAGAGGAAAGGGACAGAAGAATGAAAGGGGAAAGGGGAAGAATGCAGATAATAATTCATTTTATATACCACAGAACTGAGAAATATAAGGGAAGGGGGGGTGAAGGTGATTAAAGTGATTAAAAGATCAAGATCCATTATATACATGAACTGCTCTGTTAAATGGCAAAAAATTCAACACATAACCTGAAAATTAAGCAAAGTAAGGGAAGGGGTGGATTGGGAGTGGTGGATGAGAATACTGAAAGCGGTGACATTGATCAAGATGCACTTGAATTCATAAAGTGCTTTGTTGAGTGGCAACTCCTTTGTATAACTACTTAAAGATAATAAGAATACTCAAAAATGTTGGATGGAATTTACCCTGCATCCAGCTGTACCTAGCACCTTCATTGCGGGAAGAGCTTCATTTCTCTTCCCATTTCTTTTCTTCCAGCTTTTTATCCAGATTTTCCACTTGTGCATTCCATTTTAATCCTCTTGGTCCCAATATCTTCTCATGTGCTGATACCTTTAATTCAATGTCTGGTCTAGATTTTGACATGTTGAAGATATGGGGACAACACACGATTCTGGATCCTAGTGTATAACTTGGGATGCTGCCCCACTTCAGACGCCAGTGCCCTATAATCTTCAAATACCTTTTACCTGGTTGGGAAGGAACACTTGTAAGTGGGTACAAGGAGCTGGATCTCACAACCTCAGTACATCCACATAGCCATTCTCCATGTTCCTCGTGAAGATCTTAGATAACACTGCAGAAAAGGAACTTCTCAGCAAGACCTCCATGTCCAGTCTTGCATCTGTGATCCTTCCCACTCCTCTCCTCTCCTGGCCACCCTGGCCTCACAGGGGATCAATTATGTACTCTCTCACCATTCCATGATCCTCACTATGGTTCAACCATTTTATCCTCTCTAAAGTTTACCCAGAAATGTAATCCCCAATCACACAGTGTTGGAAGGTGTATAGTAAGGGCCCTGTTCTGGTAAATAATGACACAGGGATTAGACAGCATTTGTGGGAGCACAGAAGGCTTAAAGCCACATGAGGACACAACACTCATCTATGTTTATCCTTCCATGTTAAGCTGTGAAGACTTAGTAATTAGGGGCTTACTATACACCAGAGGACAGCACTCGATCTTCAGTTGACTTCCCAAGCTCAGAAGTAAGATAAATAGAGTTCTAGTGTTCATCAACTACTCAGTCTGTAGTGTTTTGTTATAGCAGCCCAACTTGAACTAAGACAGTATCTGATCCTTCTCCCTGATGAAATGCTCCTCAAGTGAAAGTGAGGATTAGCTCCACAAATCCTGTTTATTGCCCAGCACAGCGGTCACTCAGCACAACATGGAAAACGGAGAGGTAAAGCCAGAAAGCTAAAATGTTGGTAACTGTCCCAGCAATTACAGCAGGTGGCAAGGCAGGTGTGACTGATGGATTGACTTGGAAGGTCTGCAGAATGCAGTTTGGTGTGTGGGGAATTACACAAGGGATTATGTCCCTGACCAAAACTTTACAACCTCTGTCAAGTCTCTCCAACACGATAACCATTGTGCCCATAATGCCCACTGAGTAAGGATTCCACAACAATGTTTTATTTTGCCGGTATTGATCTTGTACTCGGGGTGTCAAACTCTCCTTAGCTTTTATGCACAAGGCTCAAGATTGTCTGCAGGGGCTTGAGCCATGTCTGCACTCCATGGCTGTTGTTTTTTACCCTTTGTAGTCCATTGTCTTTTTATTATTTTTCTTTTATTTTTTTAAATTGTATTTTATCGTAAAGATGTAGTCCATTGTTTTGATGGTTACCAGAGATGGGATCTTCAGGACTCTTCTACGGTGACAGGCTTGGAAAGTTAATCCTCCAGATCTAAGCCTCATGACTCACTGGGATCACAGGCATGAACCACCAGAGCCTAGATTCAGCACATCTTCGGAAGACTTCCCTGGTCATTTAAGGTATGTACTGTCCATTGAGGTCGCTGGGTCCATGCACTTCATCTCAGTCGTGCCAGCAGGACAGAGAGGGACTGGTGAAGGGTGCCAGCTACAATGGAAGCCTGTCTTGGTTAGTTTGTCAGTTTTGCCTTCTGCTGGATGTGAGACCCTGGCAAGTTCCCTAACTGGAGCCTGACACTGTTGCCAAAATGATGTGTCTATGCCAGAGGGGAAATGAGCTAAAGTACGTGCACACAGAGAATAATGTTTAACACCTATTAAATAATCAGCCAAGTGCAATGTCATGATGCCTTCTCTTAAAGACAGCCAGACTCACCATACATATACACCCAGGTACACATACATGTACACATACACTTACATACACGCATACCTATACACATTCATATGCAATACATTCTCCCCAGATGTTGGAAGATAGTCCTGGCAAGGCTGGTTTAACTTTTCATCCCTGATGAGATTCCAAGTCCAGAATGTGAGTAACTCACCTGTTTTTTTAGCCAGTTCCCTTGGAAGGAGACAAGAAGGTGATTGCAGCAGTGCAGCTCTGGTGCTTCCTTAAAAGGACTGACACAGAGAAGAATTTGTTTTCCGCCCAGAAGAACAGCACAGCCCCTGGCTGGGAACATATCATGGGTTTCTATAGAGGGAAAAAATGCAGATTTTATCAGTCAGGCCTCCTTAATTATAAAGACTGGTGTCTACTTTCCAAATTGACTTTGAAATAACTCAATGATGCTCTGGTTCCCAGGAAGCAAGCATACGATTGCTATTCATGTTCACCATCCAGTGCACCAGGCCACCAGGAATGGCCTTTGGATATCTCAGCCAGGAAATGAGTGCCAAGCCTCAGGGCTCTTATGGGAGCAAGTAGACTCGGCTTCCAGTCTCCTGTGTGCAGGAGTATACCCTCACAGCCTCGATGGCTGCCTGCTCTGAGGGCTGGTCCTTGCCAGTGCCTCCGATGGTGACTAGAGTAGGTTCTCTTCCTGTTCCCCACACACTCTACTCCTGTCTACCCCGAGTCTCCCACTACTGAGTGCCTGTTGCCTGCTCCACTTCACTGGTCAGGGATTTCAAGGTAGTCTCTCAGATCCCACAAGAAACAAACCACTATCGATTCACAAACCCCAATTCTAAAGTTAATTTCCTTTCATGTGCACGTTTATTTGGTATTGGTGATGTTATGAAAAAGTCCTGCGTGGGAGAACACGTAATTGCTAAGGAGCAGAGAAACATTTACTCACAGTTAGTTTATCATAGTCATAATACTTTACACAGACAGTACAATGGTGACCCACTAGAGTCCAAATCGACATCCCTTTCCCACACTTGTGTTCCAAAGCAGATTCTTGAACCCGGATCGCAGTGTCACATCCTGCCACATCAAACTGACAGAAAGCTGCTCCTGGCTGACAGTCAATAAAATGGCACAAAAGCACATGGACATCGACAAGGCAGTCATACCACAGAGACAGCTTACATCTTACTGGCACAAGGTAGAGAGCAAAGATGGAGAGCCAGGTGGAGAAAGGGACAGCACGTGATGAGGTGAGGACCACCGATATGCTGTTTCCCATGTCCCAGAATGCCTCACGACTGTCCTAAAACAGCTGGCAGGAGAGATGACAGACTTCCTGGGAGCGAATGAGCTGTCATGCCAAGAGGATTCTGGTCAGCACAGGGTTAGGGAGTCCTAAGAAGAATGCTCACTGTGCCCAAGAGGGACACAAGTCCAGGAGCTGACCACACAGCATGTCTGCCTCCCTTCAGTCTCTGTCCCATGAGGATCACCATCTCAGTTGTCTTTCAGCCACTGCTTGAGCAGCCTCTGGAACATCTTCTTGTTTTCCTGCTGCCTCTCCCGTGGGCACCTCTCTTCAGGTGGCTGCTGCTGCTGCTGCGCCCCCTCTGGCAGAAGGCTAGGCTGGTTGGTGCCCATGCTGAGGGTCAAGCCACTGAGGCCCTGTACCAGCGACTCCCAAGAGGAAGAACTGGCGGTGGCATTTCCTTCCCCTGAAACCCCCGTGGATGGCCCATGGCCCTGGCAGTATCGACATTCACATCGGATCCGATTCTGAGCTCTGTCATCTGGAGAAGATCCGGTGTTCCTTTCCACTGCGTAAGGAGCCATATGGTCGCGGTGCCTGCGTCTCACGTGGCCCGGGGACGCCTTCTTCTTCTGAGATAACCCCAGCCTCTCCCAGCGCCTTTGCCTCAGCAGACTCTTCTCCTCCCTGTATTGCTGCTGAACCAGCCCCTCGGGCAGAGGCGCAGAGGCACTGGGACCTGCACCTGGGCTCAGCTCGCTGAAGCTCATCCTGAGCTGCTGGGAGGAACAAGGCTCAGAGACCATCATGACCTCTTGGGAGGCCGCAGTAATGGTCAGCCGGGGAGACCCGGAATTCAATGCCGCATTCCATTTCTCCAGTGGATCCATGGGGTCTGGTCTGAGCTGGAAGCCCTACTGGGGTGTGGTGTAGATGGGATGGTCAACCGGGAGGACTTGCCGTAAGAAGAAGGAAGCTAGAGACCATGGGCTGCCAGCAGAGGCCACACTGTAACAAAGGGGAACAGGACAAGGAGGAGAGTCCACGGTTATGCATTTTACTTTACATTCCTGTCCCTCCTCTTCCTAGGTGTCAAAACCACCTCCTAAGCTTCTTCTGTGGATTCCATGTGCTAATGTACATCCAGAGCTTAGGAAGTCAGCTGAATGACATACAGGGTTTAGAAATGGCACTACTTATTCCATCGATGGAGCATGCCTACAATATGGAAATCTACTAACAGTATTTGTTGCCTGCTGATTCCTTATAGGCCATTCTGGAGAATGATTATAAGAACAGGCTATATTTGACTAACATGTGCTCCTCTCCTAAATATTCTTAAACTTGCATACAGTAAATGTTATGAAATTGTAAGTATGTTTACCAAGGGTGACAAACCTCTGGGAACTCTTGTGTTCATGACCACTGGCTTTACATCTAATGAAAAGTGTAAACCTTGTCCAAGAACATAAATGTTCTCATTACCTCACTTAGGAAACAATGCCTTAATAATATAAATAAAATTACTTTTTTTAAAAAAAAAAAAGCTTGCTTCGCATCATCTTATATGGTCATTTGTACAGAGTTTTTGAGCTTTTCTGCTCATCTGATAAGACATATATGAATTATTGCACATAAGGGAAACCATGGGACCTGATATTTCTTTGGGTCTGGCTTACTTCACTTAATACAATTTTTTCCAAGTCTTCCCATTTACTAACAAATGGGGCCATGTCATTCTTTCTGATGGAGTCATAGAATTCCATTGTGTATATATACTACATTTTCTTGATCCATTCATCTACTGAGGGGCATCTGGGTTGGTTCCATATCTTGGCTATTGTGAAAAATGCTGCAATAAACATAGTTGTGCTGGTAGCTTTAGTGTGGTCTTGTTTGTGATCATTTTGGTAAATGCCCAGAAGTGGGATTGCTGGCTCATAGCGGAGCTCTATGTATAGTCTTTTGAGGAATCTTCATACTGCTTTCCAGAGTGAACAAGTTTATGCTCCCACCAACAGTGCAGTATTATTCCCTTTTGGCCACATCCCCTCCATAGTTTTTTTCTTTGTTGTTGTTTTCAATGTACTTGGTATTTTTTTTTCCCTATGATATCCCCGGTTGTCACTGTATTTGATTTTGGTCCCTGCATCGTGTATATATATTTATCTAATTTGGGGATTGTAAGGGGAATAACAAAATGCTGAAACAAGGACACAGGATGATCCATTACAACAATGATACTCACAAGACACCATGTTGAAAATGAACTTCACAACTTCTTCGGAGGAGGGAAGAGGTAGGGGACGGAAGGGAGAAAAACAAAGGAGGGGTAACAAGGTTCAACAAGGAATGTACTTATTTCTTTACTCTTGTAACTATAACCCATCTGTACAGCATCTTTACAATAAAATAAAAATTTGCTCATGCTTATGGAAATTACCACAAGATTGCCACCATCTGCAAATATAATTTTCATGTACTAAAAAATTCAGCAAAATTCTGTAGTTCCACAGCGTGGTTGGGACTCAACTAAACAAAACACTGGTTCTTTGAAATGATTAATATGTTTAATAAACCTGATCAGGGGCAGGTGAGAGTGGAGGAAATGGGAAAGAAAAAAAATCACATTACCACTTTCAAGCATGAAAGAAGAGAATTTACCACTGATACAAAAAGTATGTTTCTCCACAATCAGCTCTATATAAATAAATTCAAAACCTTGGTGTGTTGTCTCCATTACTGGAAAATCATGAGCTAGCAATATTCACCCAAGATGAAACAGTGTGCTCAGTGTTACATCATGTACAGTAATTGAGCTATTAATAATAAACCTTTCTCCAAATTCTCCAGACCTCTAAAAACTAACATCCTGATTTCTGCTTCTGTGAGTTTTACTGTATTGCATACCTGCAAATTGGAATAAGGAGCAATAAGAACTTAAAAAACTGGCTCATTTCACTTGCCATAATTACTCAAGTTTCATCAAATTTATAAAGAGATTAAGGGTAAGTAATAACCCATCTGTTTGTATATATGAACTTATGGATATAAATTTTACCCACTAACCCATTAAAGCACATTTAGTGTATATGCACCTCTTGGCTGTTGTGAATAATGATGCCATAAAGTGAGAATATGAGTATAAAAGAATATCTCGGCTTGCCTAGTGAGTTTCACTGCTGAATTCTACCAGTTTTAAAATGAAGAAATTATACCCTTTCTACACAATACCTTCCAGAATACAGAGCAGAGGGAACATTTCCAAATGTGTTCATAAGTGTAGCACTGAACTGATACTTCTTGGCATAAGAAGTAAGATCAATGTTCTTCAAGAACAGCCACAGTTCCAGGCCAGCAATGTATGAAAACAAACAAACCATGATAAAGTGGGTTTTCTGCCAGGAATGCCAAAGTGTTTCTCTCACTAAGGTGCAAATCCTGTCAATGTATTTCACAGATGGCAGTCAGGAAAAAGAAGAACAAAGATAACATCAGATCAAGATATATATTTATATATATAATTACTTGATATGAATTTAAATCCACTGATGACATTAGAAAGACTAACATACAACAAATAGAAGTCTACTTCCTGAACCAGTCAAAGGGCACATTCAACTTAAAACTGATGTCCTACTTAATTGCCTCAAATGGACTGGATTCTCCATTAGGCAAGGGCAGCTTCTCTTACTGTGACTATTCAACTTCATGCTGGACATCTTAGATGGTACAGCAATGCAAGGAAAGTAAATAACATGTCAATGAGAAAGGAAGAAACAACTACCCTTCCTTATAGATTTCTATGACCATCCATATGAAGTACTCATTGTGTTTCCACCCAAATTCCTGGAACTAATAATTGAGGAGACAAGATCAAGCCATATGTGCAGGGTGGTACTCCCCAGCATTTAGGAGGCTGAATCAGGAGGATTCTGGTTTAAGACCAGCCCTGGGCTACATTGTGAGTTCCAAACTAACCGTAGTAAGATCTTGTCTCAAACCCCAAAAAGCAAACAAAGAAAATAACAACCCAAAGATTGTCAACCCATAGTAAAAAGCCATGTGAATGCTAAAAATCTAACTTAAAAACAATACTTTTTATGATAGCTACAAACAGAAAAGTACAGAGGATCTGTATGCTAATGAAAGAGATTTAAAATCATAATTATAAATGGAGAAAACCAACATGTTTATGGATTAGAACATGTACAAAGGGAAAATTTTTAATTACCTATACTTGAATTAATCCAAACCAATCAAAACCCTAGAAAGCAATGTGTTCATATAAATAAGCTGAATTTGCAATTAATGTAGAACTTCAATGTGGAACTTTTTTTCTGGTTCTGAGGCTTAAACTCAAGGCCTGGGCAATATTCCTGAGCTTTTGTGCTCAAGGCTAGCACTCTAACACTTGAGGCCACAGCTCCACTTCCAGCTTTTTGGGTAGTTAATTGGAGATAAGAATCTTGCAGGCTTTCCTGCCTGGGCTGGCTTCGAACTACTGTCCTCAGATCTCAGTCTCCTAAACAGCTAGGATTACAGATATTACACTGGTACTCTTCTGGAACTTCAAATTTCAAAAGTAATTAATTTGAACAAATCATATCATTTGCTTGTTTTGTTTGCTGATCCAGGGCTTAAACTCAGGACCTGGGAGCTGTCTGTTAGGGTTTTTTTTGTGTTTTTGTGGGGTTTTTGCTCAAAGGTAGCATCTTTTGGGTAGTTAACTCAAGATAATGGCCTCATAGTCTTTTCTGCCCCAACTGGCTTTGAACCAAGATCCTCCTCAGATCTCAGCCTCTTGAGTAGCTAGGATTACAGGCATGAGTCATCAGTACCTGTTCCAATAGGGATACAGGTGGACCCATTGCAACAATGAGATGTACAAGATGTTACGTTGAAAAATGAACTATACAACTTTGGCAAGGCGGCGGGGGGTGGGGCAGGGATGGTAAGGGGAAACAAAGGAGGAGGCAATAATGCTTGATAAGAAATGTACTCATTACCTTGCTCATGTAATTGTAACCACTCTGTATGGTATTTTCACAATTTAAAAAACTTATTAATAGAAAAAACAATAAAACCTAAAGATAAGAAAAAAAGAATATTGTTCTGGAAAGGAACAGACACACTTCAAAGAAAGAAAACATATTCCATAAAACACATCCATACAAATATAAACAAATGAGCACAAGGGAATTTGAGAGAACAATTTTCTTACAACTGGTCTTGTATATCTATATAAAAATATGAATCTCACTGGGCGCTGGTGGCTCACGCTTGGACACCTAGCTAATCATGAGACTGAGATCTGAGGCTAGAAGTTCATAAGCCAGCCTAGGCAGGAAAAGTCTGTGAGTCTCCTATCTCCAATTAACCACCAGAAAACCAGAAGTGGCACAGTGGCTCAAGTGGTAGAGTGCTAGCGTTCAAGCCCCATCTCACACACACACACACACACACACACACACACACACACGTATAATTTATATATGCAATAACCGAAAATGGTCTAGAAGTAACCATCAAATGTATAATAATAGGGCTTTCTTTTTTGGTCATGGGGCCTGAACTCTGGGCCTGGGCACTGTCCCTCAAGTCTAACACTGTACCATTTGAGCTACAGCGCCACTTCGGACTTTTTCTGTTTATGTGGTGCTGAGGAATTGAACCCAGGGCCTAATGCATGAGAGGCAAGCACTCTACCACTGAGCCACCTTCCCAGGCCCAATAATAGGGCTTTCAAAAGATCCAATACATTGGCACTAAGC